ATATATAGAAAGTAAAATAAATAAATAATATATATATATATATATATATATATATATATATATATATATATATATATATATATATATATATATATACATATGGGTAGGTATATTCAAATTCTCTGTAAATATGTTCGCTTGTAAAATCGATAACAAGGATAAACTCATATATTAACTAGGTTCGCACGAATAGTCTATTGTGGAAAAACAAATATCCCATATTTTCAAACCATGTTTTTACACATACAATGATTTTGATTCTATATACATATGTTTACCTATGGAGAAATTTGTAGATTGAGGCTAGATTTATACCAGTGTACACAGTTCATTTGCGCACGCAACCTAAACCAGACGAAATGAAGTGCGATAAGCAACAGATGAATTCTGGCCACACACTCCACATACCAGCAGTCAACTAAATACGCTTCAAATCACACGAAGATATCAAATAAAGAAGCATAGGCGAGTGCCGCCGTGCTGTTATGCAAACAACTATAACCGCCGACTTACACCTTACAGTATATTGTCACGTTACACTCGAGTGTTTTAGGTGCACATACATTGTGAAGCATCCTCAGCGCATTCGTATGCGCATCCGCGGCGAGGTCACCCACCGAATCGTCATGGCAGAGACCATCCTGAACAATCTGTCGCACTACATGCTGCGGTACAGGGCTGGTGAGAGGAGTTGTATCTCTAGATTCCTCGACAGTTGCCGAGGGCAATGAAAGCTTCTCGTCACCTCCACACATATTCGTATTCTTTTAGTTGTATGTATACACCTTTCGTTTAATTTAGATTCAATTACTGTGTTCGTCGCTGCTACTGTGGGTGCGGTCTATATGTGTATGCAGACACTCACGCGTGTAAATGAACCGTTTTAGTAACTGCATGCCATGTATATATTTCATATCAATTGACGTCGTAAGTAATATTCATATTTGGAAATATGTATGTTTGTATTTTTTTTTACGGATGACTTTTAATTTACGTGTCATATTTTCCATTTTTTATTATAACTTTTTAACTTTACAGTGTAAATACCGGCTACCGCATCCGGCGGCCGTGCTTGACAGTGATGTCAGGAATGCATGATCGTCATCTAGTGCAAGAAGTCCTAGCAACAAATGAGAATGATACAAGCACCCACACTTTTAGGGCCCTTTCCAATTTCCGTAGCCTCAAGCGGAGTCAAGCTGTCAAGGCTCCAGCCCTCAAATCTCAATGTTTGATATTTATTAGTAATGTGTGCTGACTGCTGAGTCTGCTGACTGTGCTCAAAGTCTCAAACAAGACTCAAACTCTGATATTTTTTATCATCATTTTTTTTTCACTTCTCTTGAATGATACAATAGAAATACACTCACTCTGACACCCAGTCACACACATGATGATTATTGATTGATGTCTCAACTTGACTTCTCTGAACTCTCAAAAGAAAATATGAACAAACGCTAAATAATTCGAAATAACTATTATTTCGATGTCCCTATGGTTGTCACTCCAGGTGCATGTTCGTTTTTTAAACGGATTGAGGTTTTAGCGGCTGTACCAAAATCCAAAACACGGTGAAAATAAAGAATTTCCCCGCGAGGGAGTCAGAGTCTCAGAGACTCAGAGTAAATATATATTTAGCCTTCTTTTTATTATTATAAAAAAAGTTCATTTTGCCTAGTGGCACACTCGTGACCGTCAGGAGAGTGGAGACGGGGGTAAAACCAAATGAATACACCGGGGGAAAGAACAGCCTTCTTTTTTATGTATCTTTTTCTTGTTGAAATCATATATACATGTCTTTTGCTTTTTCAAAATAAAAATATAGAAATGAAATTGACACCCAAAAAACCCTACTTTAAGAAACTCTTGACAGTTGACAGACTTGACACCGTATGACACCATACAGTGTACAAAACTGTACCCTGTCTTCAACAAAATATAGGGTGTTAAAAATACTGTATCAGGTAGCTGATGTCGAGTCTTCTTGTGTAGACCATGAACTGCCTGACAACACTCGAATTCTGCCGTTTGCACGAGCGGCCAGAATTATACACATATGCCGCCTCTTTGCTAGACACTGCCTGGCCTCGAAGTTATACCGCGCGCTTAGTCACGTTCGAACGGTCTAAGGATACTTTACCATGTGTGTACGTGTATGTACGTAGGTATAACGAGGGGACGTGTGAAGATAGTACTCGTGCTGCGAGCAATGAATTGACGTCAATCGAAAACCAGCCTGCAGACCGGGATACAAATGTTGACGCTAAATTGGCAGATATAGAAAGACTCCCTCAGACGGAAAGTCTGGTTGACGAGCCCAATACAAATGAAGCTCAAACAGAGGAGAAAAATGTGCATGCTCCAAGTACGTGTACCGAAAGCGAGGAATCTGGCAGCGCGACAGGGAAAGTGTTGGCTCTGGCACAGGTGTGCTTCCCGCACAAACCTGGACAGGTGGTAATTCAGAGTGTTATTGTGCATCCGACACTAAGGGGAAAGGGTGTGGGCGCAGCACTACTTGGGGCCGTCGAGAGAGATATACATGAACGGAATGGGGTGACTAGAGTGCATCTGAGTACTACTGATAAAGTTTGGTTCTATAAGAGGTGTGGGTATAAAGTGGTTGGACTGCGTATGTGCATGTGTATGTCTGAGTGTGCGTGTAGCTGCGAAGGCGAGCTGAAGGACAGTTGTGTGGTAAAAGGGTTGACCGCGGACCAAACACCAACACTCACCAGCTTCGGTGGCAACAACCCGGTTACCAATGTACTATGTAACAGTATATCAGGTATGAAGATGTCAGAGACAAACAAACATATAGCTTCAGGCACAGACAATCCAATAGGCACAGACAAAAGTCCAAGGTTCCCACCCCCACCCCCAACCCCACCCCCACCCCCGCCTTCTGTGGTTGCGATAAAGCCGAATCCCGATAGCACATATATCACACAGACTTGGATGTGTAAATCCCTGCAAGACGAATCAGAACAGACGCTGTGTAAATAAATATATACTGCAGCTGTAGAGTTATAGTTCCAGCTGTAGATTGTACTTACAGCTTTTAGTTTTACAACTTACAACTGCAACTGTAGAGTTGTAGATCCAACTGTAGATTGTGCTTACAGCTTCTAGTTTTAAAACTTATAATTGCAGCTGGAATATTGCAGCTGTAGAGTTGTATATCCAGCTGTAGATTGTACTTACAGCTTCTAGCTTTAAAACCTATAATTGCAGCTGTAATATTGTAGCTGTAGAGTTGTAGATCCAGCTGTGGATTGTGCTTGCAGCTTTTAGTTTTAAAAGTTATAATTGCAGCTGTAGAGTTGTTGATCCAGCTGTAGATTGTGTTTATAGCTTTTAATTCTATGACATATTGGCAGCTTTAATATTGCAGCTGTATTGTTG